GTTGACGACGAACTTATGCAACCCAGCACTGACGCCGCTCCCTGCCATGAAGCTACTTCCCACGACAACCAAGCCAATACCCTTCCCCTGAGCCAAAGAGAGACTCAGCCGTGGATGGTTGACCCGGACGGAGTGCGCACAGAGGGCAAAGACAGGGAGTCCAACAAGATGCCGCCTGTTGGGGCCGCTGAGCTGCAAAATGGGGCTTTTGAATTCAGGAATTCAGAATTTGGTCCGCCTGACCCCTCTCGTTTGAGTTTGCCCGAAATAGGAAAACCGCCTATCAACACGGGGGAAGGGAAAGATACCTCGCCGGCCTTTGGCCGAGGGGGAGGGGCTCCCCTCCTTGCCCCCCCAGTGTTCGCAGGACAGCAGCAGGAGGCTCGCAAAGATGAGGCTCACCTAGAACCCAATAGGAAAACCACGCGACCCGAACATTACGATCTTGACGAACCTGCCTGGCTTCCCTCCCTTAAATCGAGCATACAGGAACTGAAAGACAAGCAGACCCAGATTCTGGAAGTCGCTGACAGCAATTTCAGAGAAATTGCTTCTCTGCAACACAAAGTTGCGGACGCGGTGCCCAGGATCGAGGCAGTTGAAGCCATCTCACACGATCACACCAGAGAAATTAAGGAGCTTCGTCAGGAGATTCAAGCCTTACGATCTCGGTCGGTGTCGCCGGCTCCTGCGGGCTACACTACCCCAGGTGGGGCGTCAGCTCCAGTCTCGCCTCGTCAAGACCCCAGATACGACGATCTCCAGATTGCTTGCGGGGGATGGCAAGACGCCAAGCGACACGACATTGAGAGTGAATTGAGTCAGGCTTTCGCTTCGGCGGGTGGTTCGAATTTGGTGCAAGACATCATCGTACCTTATGCACGTAGCTCTTTTGCAAGAATTGAGTTGAACTACCCCTCAGGCAGCTCGATCGGGGATAAAAGAACTATTCAAACCAAAGTCATCAATGCCCTCAAAGAACAGCTACCAGTCACCAACATTCGGGGGCAGGACGGTCGGAAGGTATGGTTTAGTCGAAACCGCAGTCCGGAAGAACGGGCTGAACTCCGAGCAATTTTGTCAACCAAAGAAGCCCTTCTCGCTTTGAGGCCACAAGCAGACATTGAGCACGATTGGCGGGGTAAGGTCTTCGCTGATGGGGTCAATGTTTTGGGGTACTCAGGTCCAGCCCCACCGGAAGGAGCCTTTCTCCACACCACGACTCGTGGTGATCATAGTGGATGGTTTGTGCACGTTGCCAAGGCAGCACAGGTTCTGGGGCTCAACACACAACAAATTCACGATGCACTCACACGTACAGCGGGAGGACCATAGGGACTTGGCAGGGAACCCAGAACTGAAGCATCTCAGACCTCTCGGCAGCATCGCAGGACCAAGCACCGAGCCTTCCATGATCTTTCTGTCCTGCATTGGAACTTGCATGGAAAGTCGCTCACACACATTGATAATGTTATCCGCAACAACGTGGATCCTCCTGACATTCTGTGTTTGCAGGAAGTTGGGGGCCTCAACGGAATTAAGGAAGTGCAAGCCCTGCCTTTTGCCATAGGCAAACAGTCCTATACTGCGTATTGCTTAGACACCGCTGAAAGCTGGCGAGGAGTCTGTGTTGCAGTACGACATGAACTTACAGCTTCTGTCACGGAAACTCGTCCACACCCTTTTGGAGTACTACTCAAACTGCGAATGCAGGGAGTTGATTGGTACGTAACCAGTATGCATTTTCCTCATGATAACCGCGCTGAGTGTCTTGAGACTTGGGCTTCAGGAATTCAACTGCTTGAGGAATTTGTTTTGCAAGCCCGAATTCAGGACCGCATCGTTGTTGCAGCAGACGTCAATCAGGATCTTTCTCAGGAATTCGACCACTTTGTGCAAGTTCCGAGGTTGCGAGCCTGCATGCGTCTCGCCGGCCTTGATCTGGTATGTCCAGACCGCAACACATGGCATGCTCGAGGGATTAGCACAAAGATTGATTTTACTCTTCTTCGGGTGCCCGGCATGGACTACCACTTGGAGGTGCGTGATGACTTGAGACTTGCACTTCCATCAGATCACTCCGCCCTTCTTCTCACAGTCTTTTCGAGGATTCCCTTTTATAGGAGGAGACCCTGGGTCACTCGACGGTGCGGCAAGTGGGTTGCTCCTGAGCTTGCGGTTAAGGAAGCCCTGCTTCACTGCACGAAGCCTGAATTCAATCATGCAACCATCGAATCCATTGCCACTAAGGCCAGCTTCCGACCACCCAACTTGCGTTATCAAGATGGTCCTGAAATCCATGAATTAATACGGCAACGCAAGCTGCTAACTGGAGATGAACGAACTACCATGATGGGGAAAATCCGTGTTGCACGCGAAGCTGCCCAGGTTGCGCATAAGCAGGCTCTCTTGGATAAAGCACGTAATGGGGATAAGAATGCTATTGCTCACATGCGCCGCTCGGCCGCAGGAACCTTGTCTGACGGGAGTTACATTCAGAGAGCAGGAGGACATGAACAAGCTCTCCGGGACCTCAAACACTTTTATGCAGCAAAATTTGATTCTCGCGATCCTAATTCACTGCAACCTGTTACCGACAGCCTCCAAGCCAAACATGGTGAAGCCCCTTTTGATCCCGTCACTAAGGAAGAGCTTTTGGGACTTCTTTCTGCCTGCAAAAGTGCCACGAGTACTGGGCTAGATGGCATTTCTTACGACGTCCTTACACACATCCTGCATTATGATCTGGACAACAGAATTCCTGCATGGTTTAACAAAGTCTTGGCTGGAAGCGAGGCAATCCCCAAAGAATGGAAGGAAGGGAAAATCACCTTCCTACCCAAAATTTCGAGGCCCCTCAAGCCCTCCCAACTTCGACCCATTTGTTTAACTAGCACTGTCTGCAAGCTCTTTGGGAAGCTCCTCAGCGTTAGGCTCCGCACCATGCTGCCCCCTATCACTACAGCGCAACTGGGGGCCAGGAAAGGCTGCCAGGTTCTCGATGGGATCACTACGGCCCAGATGATGCTGTCGTTGTCTAAAGCCAGGAAAGCCCCTCTTTTAGGGGTCAAATTAGATATTGCGGCTGCCTTTGACTCTGTTCATCATCGCAGCATTGGGCAGTTTCTTCTTGAATCCCAGCCTTCGCGGGAGGCCCTTAGACTATGGGACTTGGTTCGAGACAACACAGTCCTCCTTCAATTGAACGGAGAACATTGGTTTCAGAAGCTTCAGCAAGGGGTTATGCAAGGGACCAGCTACAGTGCGGAGTTGTTCAGCAGGCTCATGGCATGGGCACTCAGAGACCTTGACGGGCACTGGGACGGTCTTTGGGGACCCTGTGTCCGGGGAATTCACACTCCGCATATGCTCTTGTTTGCAGATGATATCATTGTTTTTGCGCGCACCACTGAAGAATTGCAGTCCAAGTTGCGTGACATTCAAGGATGCTTGGATGCACTGGGCCTCAGAGTTAATGTGGACAAGTGTGCAGCTCTTGCGAGCCCGGAGTGCCCGCAACCTGGCATTTGGGCCAGGGGGTCCTGCAAACCCCTTCAGATTTGCGAACAGTTCATCTTCTTAGGAGCCCCCCTCGGGTACTCCCTGGGGCCCCTCGATACCTTGGGCTTTTCACTTCGGAAGGCCAGCAACGCCTTTTTTGGTTTTAAGAAGATTCTCTCTTCACATGCTTGTGATTTGCATGTTAAATTCACACTGCTTGACACGTACATCACATCGCGTTGGCGCTGGCTAGCACCAGCGGCATACCCTACTCAACGTTGTTTGGAACAAATCGAGGCATCAAAAAACACCTTCTTGTTAAGCATGACCAGGATCATAGGAGACCCCTTTGAGTCTTGGGTGAGAAATACTACTGCGAGGAGACGAGCATGTCGACTTCTGTGCCAGGAATTGAATGGGCCCAACTGGGCAGGCACTTGGCTCTCCCAACTTTGGCGCTACTGGGGGCATGTCTGGCGGAACCCCTTGAACCTCCCGAACTGTCGAATTCTTCGACAGGTTGGGACAATTGCCCTGCATGCAGGTCTGATTAGACCTGGCTTGCTGGTGGATCTAATCCCTCGTAAATTACAAAAAACCTTTGTCCAGCTTCGAGGTCAGCATGATCCAGACTGTTGGGAGCTTGCCGCTGTCAACAGGGATGTTTGGAAGGAATTTGAATTCAGATGGATTCGGAAATGGATCTCGCCCATTAACACCCAATGTAACGCCACATACCTGATGCATATGCAGCTCTTAATTCTCCACAGGAGGCTTTGCATTCTCCGACCAGTGCGCGAGGACCTTTTTGAACAACCGTACAGTAAAGCCATGTTGCATGTTGAAGAAGCCAAGCGACTGGGGTCGAACCGTTCCCTGGTGGCGAGGCTTGAGAAAGACCAAGGCATTTCGGTCCTACTGTTCATGGGATCTTTGCAACCCAGCAAAATTACTCTTGTTCAACAGCCTCCCCAGCATGCGGATCTGTTAAGTAACATCGCTGAAGGACTCTTGGTGGTGTGGCACCTGACCAAGATGCTTTTTGACGATGATCCCTTCAACAAACCTATCATTTTTCTGCCGGCAGTAATGTTGCAACACCCCTTGTTTGTTGGTTCCATCAACACGCCCGTCGCCAGGAGTCTTATGTACCGCCTTGGACAGTTAGACATACTCGACTTTGTGCAGACCCTTCCATCAAAGCTGCCCCCAAGGTACGAAGCTCTCTTGCAATTCCCTTACAATCCCCACCCCGCCGACATGACCTTAATCAGGACCTTGGATGCTGCTTGGGCAAAATTTTTTCCAGCCTGTGCATGGATGTCACATTTCAGTCACACGTCCTGAAACTCACTTTGCATGAAGACCTCTTAACCCTAGGGGGGGGGGGCAGGACGGCCCATTTAATGGCCCGACCTGACAGCAAACCTGCTCTGCACCGCAGCAGTCATTGCAATCAAACTGCCTCAATTTCCCGACCCTCTGCAGCCCCTGCAAGCATGGAAGCTGGAGGACTTTCGGGAGCTCTCAACGCTTTGATCTCCTCGGAGGTCTCAAGTGGAGTCCTCATTGGACTTGCGGTGCTCCTCCTCTTTTTGGTCATGAGAAGTGAACTCTGGCCCGACTGGATTGCAAGCTCGTGGGAATTCACCACCCAGTGCATGCGACTTCCTGCAGTTCTGGGAGATATTCGCGATCACTTACAGGAGCTGCGTCTGACCCATGAAATGATGGGGGAAATCAAGAACATGATGGACACGCTCCAGAACCTCCTCAAGGACATTAATTCGGCTGCAGGAGGACTGAACGAAGAGATGGAGAAATTCGTGACGGGCAATGTCCGTGAACTCAAAGAATTTGAGGGCAAGATCAGCGATGTTCTCAAGCTAATTCAACCGCTGGATGGCTTGGTGAGGAATGGCAACGACCTTGGCACAAGGTGCTTGGGAGAAGTTGCCAAAGCTCAGGTTGCTTTGGATGAAGCACTCAAGATCATCAAGGCGGAGCTCCCCCAGGGTCTGCTTGCCAAGAAGTTTGACTATCTCAAAGACACCCTGAAGACCATCCAAGGGGATGTGAATGCATGGTACAAGCAAGAGAATTCACAACAAGGACAGTATTCTAATTCACAGCAAGGACAGTATTCTAATTCACAGCAAGGGTACAACCAGTATTCTAATTCGCGTGCAAGTGACAGTCGTGGGAGCGATCAAGGTCATCAGGATCAGGGTCGCACTACGACTCAGGAGGAAACACGCTCCATATCTTTGGTGGACTCATTGCCGGGTCCACCGCCAGTTCCGGGCTCTCCCGGCGCCACGCCTGGTCAAGGAGGCGGGGCTGACCTCACCACTTTGGTGATGGCAGCTGCACAGGTTCTGCAAGCCCAACAAGCCCAACAGAGGCGCTGATCACCTACTCGTCAGCATCCATGCAAGTGAAAACTTTCCAGTGCGAGTGTCTTGCAACATGTTCAGTTTCTTGGCAATCATTTGGTTCTTAGGGAGTGATTTGGCGACATCCTGTAGCTGCTTTTCTCGAAGCTGTTAGGTCGCTCACATGGGAACCCCTTCATGGCAGTACATATTGAATTTGGTGCTGGTTTTTCTGATTTGCATGTTGATGTTTCGTGGGCTACTCTCCTGGCAACGCAAGTTCTGGGGATGCCTGTGCCGAATGCCGAAACTCCTCTTGGAAGTTCATGAGGAATTGGTGGCCTTCACACACCTCGCTGACAGCCTTGACGCAATCAATGAAGGGCTGAGACAAGTTCGGGAATTTGTAATTCATATGCACACCGATGCTAGAGAAGCCCTCCATGAACCACCACCTGCAGAGCTCTGCACACCACGAGGGGGGGCAGCTCATTGTATTCGACTCCTACAGGCATTGACGACCCTCACCCAGGACCTGGTTCGTTCAGTGGAGCAACTACATCAACTCCAAGGACGGGTGGAACATAAAGTCCATCAAGCCTCTCCGCTTTTGCGTGCCATGCACCACATCTTGGTCAATGAGTTTCCCCCAGGGAAATTCCGATGTGACCTTGATGTGACTGAGGAAGCAATGAATTCTTTGCGCGAGGACCTAAATTCTCATACTGAGGCCCTCAGACGGTGTGTGGACTCAGAATTGGGTCTGTTTGGATACAGAGCTTCTCCTGGTGACTTTTATAATTTAGTTTCCATCCTGCCGCCTGTGGCGCCTTGGGAAGAGGACCCGATGGAAGATCGCCCGGATCTTCAAGTGTTAGCACTTGCAGCCACTCATGTGCTTCGAGGGATGTGAGTTTTTTAAAAGGTCGTTCGATGCGCCGCGGTCTTTGCAATGCATGTTTCAAGACAGTTTTACCGTCTGTTGAAAGATCGATTTGTGCTGTTGACCTTTGGCACACTCCAGTCCAGTAGCGAACCATCGTCCACTCGGTAGTGTATTTGTTGCCATGGATGTCCATACGCTGCTCTACGCTTTCATAACCATATTGCTCCTGTGGAGTCTTCAACGAATGTGGGAATTCACTCTGCAAGTGACCGCTCAGGCTTGGTCCCTGGCTGCACGATTGGCGAACTTACTTCAGACTTTGGAAGACACTCACCATCGCCTTCATTCTTCGGCTGGGGTGGTGGTTGAGGGCTCCTTGTTTTCGGAAACGCTGTCAGACAACATCCTGCGCTTGGTACGTATGAACGATCGCAAGCTGGGTGAAACCTTGGCACAACAACTTCGACAGCGCGAGGACCTGGAGAAGCTGATTCGACTTTTCGGGGATGAATTCAAGAATATTGTACAGGACCTGGGCCACCGCATAGCCACACTTGAGGTCTCCCTTGATAACTGTGTGGAACAGCTCGAAGCCCATGATGAGAACTTCAAGCGAATTCGTCGAGCATGTGAGGATCAAACTCTGCATGCAAAAGCCCTTGTAATTAATAATGAAACGAATTTTAAACAAGTGAAGATGTCCTTTTCCCATCTGAGATCTGTCCTGGAAACAGATGTTGTACCAACATTGAACAGCCTACAGGCTATCCTGAATACAACTAGATGAATGTGCATGACCCTCTGCAAGACTACCTAGAATCCGGCAGGAGTGACAAAGAAGCAACTGTGCTGGAAGACTCTTTTGCATGCAAGGCCCCAAACCCAACATCCCTTCCCCAGCGTTATGGCTCTAGCAACAACTCAGCAGAAACCTCGGCTTTGCTGTCATGAATGCCTTTCCCTTTCCGCTGCTGGGCCCCTCGGTGCTGGAACCAATTCCTGTTGATGATGTTAGCGAACACCCCGAACCCAAGCCTCAACATCAACGACGACGAATCAACAAGCTAGATCGAACGCCTTTTGAAGCCATGCGCACAACTATACTCGACCCACCATTTGCACTTTCTGACAGTCCTCTCCTTAGGCCCATTGAGTATCAAGCCCTCTTGATTCTTAGACAACCTGAACCACCCACACCACAAGATGTGTATCACCTGTTTGACATGATTCCGTCGACGTATCTTAGACGAAGTGCCAAGGATGGAACCCGGTATTTCGGTACAGGGGCGAACCCTCGCAACTCCCAATGTTTGTTTACCTTTTCTATTGACATGCCGTTTCTGACACTAGTCATTACGAAAATGATTGCTTATGTCTGTCCTGACTTCAGGTTCACCTGCTGCATCGTCTTTCGTGGGTGTAAAACCAGGCCTCATCGTGATACTAACAATGGAAGCAACCAGTCCTTAATCATGCAACTTTCCCCACCGATCCCAGGGGCAGGGCTTTGGATTCAGGACCCATGTGGGGATGTCACCATGACTCATCTTGGCACTCATGTTAAAGGCAGGGTTGTATCAATTGATCGACCCTACATCCTTAACGCCAGGAGACTCCTCCACGCAGGGGTCATGCCCTCTGCTGCTGATCCAGCCTCCAGAGTTGTTTTGGTTGCGTTTAACTCTATTCACCTAAGCACCCTACATCCCGAGGTCATCGACCAACTTCTGGACCTAGGTTTCCGAATTAACTCCAAAACCGACCTCAAGGAATCCTTGGAAACACCCTGCCGCCTGAAGCAGCTCACCCTTCAGGAATTTCTGCAGCTCCCACCATCTCGAAAGGAGGAGCACGACATCATCGAGGTGTTGGACAGCCAAGAGGACCAGTAACTTCTCCTCAACAACCCACACCTGAGCCTAGCTGTGTGAAAAACATTCTGGGTGATGGATGGGTGTTGTGATGATACTGCTGCAACCTGCAAGCCTGTACACTGAGTTCAGCCTACTTCCCTCATTATATCAATCACAAAGGGCCCCTACGGAAAACCAGACATCAAACTCAGTTTCACTCCACCTTGCCGCGCCATGACTTTCGGACTGTACCGAAGAATTCCTGCATGGATTGATGATGGGATTGGAATTCAAGAGTTTGTGGAGATCATGGAGGATTCTGCATGCCCCCGTATCTTTGCAAATAATGTGGCCGGGTTTGTGAGGGAGCTACATCAACTCCCAGAGCTGGAGCCCTTCATACAAACCCCTCTGATCGCAGATTACTGGAGAAGGATTCTACAACGATGCGATGAATTACAGCGACTGAATCTGCGAGCAACGAGGAAGCCGCCCCCGGAGTTCTACGCTGAACTCTCACAGGTCTACGAGCGAATTCGACTCCGCACGTGGTTCCTTTATGTGGACGCTCAGCTGGCGCCCTCACTGCGATATCATCAGCTCCGCCATTGATGAGAATTCGGAACCACTCGTTCTGCATATTGCATGGAGGAATCTGGGTATGGGAGCCCGTCAACAAGTTTTGGGCCTACTGCACTTCCTATACCGCGCCCTCGGCAAGCTGCATGAGGAATGCTCAGCTCGCGCCTTCACTATGGTACCACCAGCTCCGCCAGTAATGCCTGCGGGGTATCCGCCTCTGCATGTTGTCTACTGCTCGCTGAGACAGAATTTGCGAATTTGGTGTGGTTTATCACCATATGACAGAGAAATGAGAATTCAGACGCGCTTATCCTGCATACAACATGAAGGAATTCGCCATATTCCATATTGCAAGCTGCATGATGACTTTGAGATTCAGGACTCTGCTACTACGACCTCTGCTTTATCTGGGTATGTGAGTTTTGCAACAAGCCTTCTGGGCACATCATATACTGCGTCCTCAGCAGGCTGCAAATGAGGAATTTGAGAAGTTGGAATTCGCTGCAATCAACATCTCTGCCCCGGAAGCAACTGCATGTGTTTTGGCTTGTGGCATGGAAGCAGCGGGAAGCTTGGCATGTGCATGTTGATGGACAGTGTACTGCGTATTCGGGTATGCTGACTGCAGGACCTACTTGAGTCCGAGATGGAGCAGAATATAGTGGCAACTGAATTTAAAACAAAGACCCTGCGAAGAAGGACGAACGTACACTGCATGGGAATTTGCTTTCTGCATGACAAGCAAGCATGCTATTCGATCCCTGCATGATATGACTGAGCGGAATCTCCGTCGGACTTGCACGCCATGTGTTCCTGATTGCTGTCGTGATGGTGTGACAACTGCAAGCTGCATGCACTGAGTGAAGCCTGAGACGAGACATTCAACTTTGTGGTAGATGTTCAACTATGCGGTAGATGGTTACGAGCCAGACTTGTTTCACTGGGCTCCTGGAGTACGGAACTAGGGGCTGGGGTTGTTTTTGGTTTAGTGTTTGTGCTCTGGGAGTCTGCTGTCAGTTGGAACCTTTATTCCTATGCTTGTACACTTGGTGTTTGGCATTTGCTGGGTTGTGTCTGACAGCTGGCCTGTAAGTGAATCGGCTTACAGGGTTAATGTACCACGTCGAACCTACATCTGCAGACCTTGCCAGGCTTGTCCGAGTGTGAGTGTCAAAATATATATATATATATATGCACGTCATGTTTACATTGGCCTACTCGCAGTGCCAAGGACTCAGCGAGACCCTGCGGGAGCCTGAAGCATGTGGGCATACTTACTGGCACACGGAAGTGACAGCATTCCAACACAGTCGGAAAGAAATTTCATCATCCACCAGGGTGTATGCCGTGCTTCTTATTGTTCAGCGTGTGCAGTTGGCAAGACCCCCCAAAGAACAGCAAGAACAACAGAGACTGTGGTAAAAAACAGTTGTGCCTATGGCAGGCCACAACGGCTCCATGCCAAACTCAAGCTACGGCGAACTGGATGATCCGAAGCTAGCATGGCCAACCGGATTGACTTTCTTCCGGACATCCGATCTGCATCGACCTCGCTCCGCATAGGTAGCAGCTAGCCAGCAAGCCCCAATGTTGTTTGATGCTCCTGGTTTTCGAGCTCTCCATGTGGGGATAGAAGTTTTGATCCTCCCGGGGCCAACGCTAGAGAGGAGTCCGCAGAAAGACGAGCAGCAGGTCAAAAGATGCACATGTGATTTCCCAACAGCAAGAAAAAGTTGCGGCTTGCCCATGCCCTGTCCCTAAGTTGCAAAGGCGAAGAGGCCGCAACCCTTCGTTCAGCCAGTGGTCGCTCTGCCAAGCTTTCGCGCCAGAGTGTAGATGCCGCGTTTATCCCTGACTCTACCTAAGCCCTAAACCCGAAATCTTGAGCGAAAGCCTTAGTCCCGGCGTCTAGCTCCGATGCACGGCAAGAACCCCAAATCAGAAGTCATGCGCTGTGCCAGGCAAATCACACATCTTCGCTCGATGCATTAGTCGATGCAGCAGATCGAGTCTATAAAAGCCCGGCCCTTTCCGTGGTTGCGTTTTGAGGGCCGCAGCAGAAACGGTACAATTTCTTAACGCTTAGTTTTGGGTAGCTGCTCAGGAATTGAAAGTAGATGTTTCTAGCGGGAGACCTGCTTGTAGGACACGCTTTTGCGCGCGAAGAAAACTGATAAGGACAGCGTCATGTGTAGAATGTTTCGAAGCCGACGAATATGTAGACGATGAGAAGAGTGTTCAGGATGCTGAATTATTTCGCATATGCATGCCTCCAAATCACGCTTTTTGAGGTTCTGAACTTACTTAGCTCAGGGTGTGCAGGAGAATGGTGCGCCGGGTTGTTGTTGCAAACATGGTACGCCCCTTGTGCCGAAAGTTTTGGCTAGAGTTAGTACTTTCAGTCTCAAGTTAGGCAGTTTTTGTAGACCCAGGGAGGGGGTACAGATTCACTTAAGCATGGTCCCTCTATCCCTGGATGCGATTGCTAAAGCCTTGGACACTATCCCCCAGGCCCACCAAAGCGAAAACCACGACCTTGAGCGTAATGCCATAATGCTTCAATACGGTTGATGGTGTAAATCCTGCATTACC